CGAGAAACCCTGAGGTGTCTCGGCACGGTCTCGGGCGGGTGCCAGACCGAAGCGGTCGGGTTTTTCTAGCGAGTTTTTTGCCCTGTTTCCTTGATATAAATAGGAACTTCGTTCCTTAGGGTTTTGTAGGAGGAAAATATGGGTTTTCAGAGAAAAATGAGAGTTTTCCAGATCTAAAAAAGGCGAGATCTTGAGGAGAGAAAAGATCGAGTGCTTGGAGAGATTTTTCAAGAAAGAGGCCATCTTCTCTTGGATAAAAATCAAAGCTTCATTTTTGGGACGAGCTTGTGGGTTGTACAAGTCGTCGATGTTCTCCATCATAGTGGAATCTCCCTTCACCTCTCCCCGTGGACGTAGACATGTTTTTTGAACCACGTAAATCTCGTGTCTCACTTATTGTATTAGTTATTTCTTGTGTTGGTTCCCTCAATATTCAGGCCTAGATCTGATATTGGGAAGAGTGTTTACCTCACCTCGCTGAGATATTCACTTACGTTCTTTTTTCATATTGAAACAGGAACATCGAGATTGGTTTGTGTTTTGTGAAAACAAAAGCCAGGACTTTCTCTCGAGATGAAATGCTTTCACGACGAGTGGGCATGTCGACCTCCAACAATTGGTATTAGAGCCATTTGTTCAGATTGGGGGTGATAGAGCTTCAGATTTGAGGTGGTGCTTCGTTATTGTGTGGTGCACACAAGGTGCTTGTTGAAATTCCTGAGAGAAGCGGATTTACTAAAACAAGCGGAGAATGACGTCTACCAGTAAAACGATCAAAGTAGGAAGGTATAAGATTGAAAAGTTTAATGGGAAGAATGATTTTTCCTATTGGAGGATGCAAATGAAAACTCGTTTATTTCGCAGAAATTACACAAGGCTTTGGTAAGAAAAGAAAAGAAACACAAAGATATGTCAGATGAGGATTGGAAAGAAATAGATCTCGAAGCACGAGCGTTGATTATCCTATACCTTGAGAGGGATGTCGCTTTCTTGGTGGATGGAGAAGAAACGACGACGGGTGTATGTTCAAAGTTAGAGAGTATCTTCATGACGAAGAGTCTAACTAATCAAATCTACTTAAAATCCAGATTGTATACTTACAAAATGGAGGAAGGATCATCAATTCGGAAATACATCAACAAGTTCGATAGGATCATAATGGATTTGAAGGACATTAATGTGACAGTAGAAGATGAGGATCAAGCACATCTGCTACTTCTTTCTTTACTGAAGTCTTATGAGAACCTGATACAAACATTAATACTTGTAGTTGACAATTTGAAGATGGATGAGACTAGAACAGTACTTCTAGTGGATGATCTTTGGAAAATTACAACTAGTGACATGGCTACTAGTGGTAACAAGGAACAGGCACAGGGACTGCTTATAAGAGGAAGGATCAATGAGCGAGGAAAAGACAAGGAAGAAAAATCTAGATCGAAATCGAGATCTCTTGCAAGAAGACTGTGTTTCAAATACGGTAAGCTTGGGCATTTCAAGGTTGACTGTCCTAACAAGAGAGTAGGTGGGAAAAAGAATAATAATAAAAATGAGAGAAGATGAGGCAAGGAAGAGGCGAGTTATGTCTCGGAGGAAGGGAGCGGAAAAAAATGCTATTCCGTTACGTGTGGTAAAGATATCTTCGGTAAGTGGATTCTTGATTTGGATTACTCTTACCATATGTGTCCAAATAGAAAGTGGTTTACTGTCTATAGGAACATTGATGGTGGAACCGTATTGATGGGGAGTAACCATGCTTATAAAACGATGGGACTTGGTGATATCAAAATCAAGATGCATGATAGAGTGATCAGAACCCTGACGGATGTGAGGCATGTTCCCGACTTACGAAAAAATCTTATCTCAGTTGGTACTTTGGACTTTGGTGGTTGCAAGATAATGACAGAGGATGGAGTAAAGAAGGTTGTTCGAGGTTCCTTAGTAGTAATGAAGGGCATTCGTCATGGTAACCTATATACTCTCTCGAGTACGACAGTGACAGGAGATGCAGTGGTTGAAACTGATAGAAGTAGTGGAGACCCATGTGAGCACACTCGATTATAGCATAGGTGGCTTAGGCACATGTCCGAAAAGGATCTAGATCTGCTTGGTAAGGAAGGTTTGCTGAGAACATGAAGAAACCTTACATGGATTTTTGCGAGGATTATGTGTACGGAAAGGCGCACAGGGTTCAATTCCTGAAAAGCAAGCACAAGCGCAGAGGTATATTAGACTATGTGCATACAGATATTTGGAGTCCAACTCTGACAACTTCCAAGGACGGTTCTAGGTATTTTGTCTCGTTTATAGATGATTATTCCATGTATGCTTGGGTTTATTTTCTTAAGCATAAGAATAAGGTATTCGAGACATTCAAGAAGTGGAAAGTAATGGTTGAGAACATAACAGGTAGGAAATTGAAGACACTAAGATCTGATAACGGTACAGAGTATATAGATGGTGCTTTCAAGAAGTTCTGTGATTAGGAGGGTATTATTCAACACTGGACAGTCAGGTCTACACCACAACAGAATGGAGTCAGAGAGACTGAACCATACACTGCGAGATAAAACAGTGAGTATGTGATCATATGCTAGTTTGAACAAAGAATGATGGACAGAATTGGTTGCTACAACTTGCTACATAGTTTATCGGTCTCCACATTCGATATTGGATGGTGATGTGCCCTATCGGGTGTGGTCAGGGGAGTATGCAGATTATGATAAGCTCAGGATTTTCGGATGTATAGTCTACTACCATGTCAATGAGGGAAAGCTTGACACGAGAGCTAAGAAGACAATATTCTTAGGGTATGCAGCAAGCGTAAAAGGCTATCGTCTTTGATGTACAGAAACTTTTAAGTTCGTGATCAGCAGAGATGTTACTTTTGATGAGAAATCCATGATAGTTTTATCAAAAGCTAGGGCGTCCGAGGATGATGGTGTTGAGACTGTTAGGACTTCAAAATCCTAGGTGATTGAGATAGAACCTAAAAACCAACCGGGTTCTAGTTGTGTTCAAGATTAGGATCATGGAGACACTCGGAAAGGGAGTGATGATGAACTTGAACAGGAGGAGGTTCAGCAAGAAAATGTGCAGGCACTACAACAAAAATAGCTCGAAGACAGTTTGGCTTCTACTAGGCCAAGGCGAGCATACAAGCAGGTTTAGAAGTTGGGGTCAGAACAGCCTCTGAAGCACTATGGACAGGTAAATTTGGTATAATACACACTCTCGGTGGAGGATGATGAGCCGGTCACCTTCAAAGAAGCTATTCGAAACATGGATAGTGAGAGTTGGTTGGCTATGATAGAGGAAAAGATTGAATCTCTCCGGAAGAACCAAACATGGGAGGTAGTCTCATTGCCCGTAGGGGAAAAAAACCATTTTTTGAACGTTCTCTCTCTTTAGAATGATCGAAGATAGTGGCCTACCATGCGACATGCCTCTATTCTCGTCATAGTCATTATACTCTCATGTCATTGAATGACTTGATTACTTTCACACTGTCATTCCTGCAAATAACTTTGTTTAAGATAGTGACCTATCAGGTGATGTGCCTCTATCTATTCTCTCATTCCCGAATAGTGACCTACAAAGCAATGAGTCACTACTAAAATCTGATATTGTTATTTTGCTAACAATATCATCACATTCCTTCGGTCATTCCCGCAAACGATCACTTCTTAAAAAAGTAGGCCTACCATGCGATGTGCCCCTTCTTCAAATTTCCAGGTTAAGCTGTTACACTGAACAACACAACCAAATTTGATTACGACTTAACCGTTGTAATCATACTCAACCCTTAATTCAACGTCCTAAGTGGCTAAGGATAGAAGAGAAATTTTAGCATTAAGCCTAAAAGAAACTCCTCGACAACTTATCATGCTAAGGGGAAAAACATAACTAGTCCAACTCAAATGGTAGTTGGTAAAGACATATCAAGTCTGTTGATAGTTGAGAGTTTGCTAAAAATCCTAAGTCGTGATTATTGACTGTGCAAATAGAAAAATAATCAATGGATAAAATGATAATTTTATTAATGAGATAATTGTAGCTGCTGCAACAAAAGTTATGTTACATAAAAGGGATTGAACTTAAATGAAACGGACGGCGTTGTGAAGTTCTTCCGCAAGTTCATCCAATGACCTCATGTGCTCTGTTTCAGTCTCTTCCAACGCTTTCCTGCGCAGCTCATCGTCAGAAGACATCACCATGTTGCTCACGGTAGTCTCCAGCCTCTCTAATTCATTTAGCTCAGCCTAAAGCGATATCTGTTGGTCCTCCTGTTTGG